GACAAGTCTGGAACAGGTTGATCATTTTGTAACAAGGTTGAAGAGGCCAACAGACTTGCTACAAGTTGTTCCAACAAGTCAGACGTTGTCTGCACATAACAAGTTGATGACAACAATCTTGTAGCAACTTGTTACGAACAGCCTGTATTAGTCATGTTAGAACAGCTTGTAGTGTGATACCATCACCAACTTGTAACAAGGTGACAACAACTTGTTTCTGACTTGTCAGAACAACTGGAAACACGCAGGGTGAACACATCCTGATATCGGTACCAATAATATTTTTTTGATATTAGTATATAAATATTTAGTGATAACAGTACCAATAATATTTTAGTGATATTATTCTCAAACCTCACTTTTCTTAGGTATGGAAAGTACTTGCACAGAAATTGGCAAAACTAGACCTACGAATATTTTGTCAGGTGTATATTATGTATTTTGTACCGGGTATTTATTTTGACTCTCTGTTCTATTATTTGCAAAACATTATATTCTAGGAGGCTCCTTTTTTATCCTCATTAACGTAAAAGTTAAGTTGTATCAGTATGCAAAAGTGTAGCCTGCCAGCCAGCTTATGCTACCTCAAATTTTTTGTATGTACTGTATGATATTTGGGTCATTCTGAGAATAAATATAATATATATTTATAGTAAGAAAGCTCGTCTTGACCAGATTTTCTCTTTCAAAATTTCCAGCAGATGGCATGAGGTGAGTTGTAAAATCATTTGTAAGGTTATAGTGCACTTTAAATGTGTTTTCCTCCTGTTAAATATTAACATTGTTGTTGACTTTGTTCGGTTGAACTTAGTTTGGGATTCCTGTCATATTGATCATACTTGAATCTTATCTGTCTGTCTTCTATATCGCTTTCTTAATATTAATGTATTTTTGCACATTTTCAAAAAAACTAGGTTGTCCATCCATAGTTCTATACATCAAGATGGCCAAAATCGTAACATTTGGTATTCATATCTTAGTCCATATATGCATGAACTTGTAGTTAGAACTTGACAACTGGACTCTGTACCTCAGTTGTTTAGAACGCTCCACCGGAATCGCAGGATCGCTTGTTGAATTCCTGCCAGATGGCCTGAAAATTCTATATAATCTTCGGCTCAAAATTTTCATTTTCAAAAACCCTCCACCGTGACAGTATGTCTTATTTTCTCTCCCCCAGGAAAAAAACTTGACAAGCTAGAATTGATAAGTTGCAGTAAAAAAGCGAAACATAAAATTATATTTTTATATTAAGTCACACATCTTTCACGAGGTCATCTTCAGGGCAGTTGGTCATCAAGGAGAGAGGTTGCAAATCATCAAGGAGAGAGGTTGCAAATGATAGAATAAAACAACTGACAAACGTTAAATGCCATAATGGAGTGTTAATAGTGTACATTTTCCTTGTGTAGTCCAAATTACCTCGACGTTATTTAATAAATAAACTTGATATTCTGTCTGTCTGAGAACGGCAGAGTTCCGGTTCTCGTCATGCTTTTTTTATTAGTTCCGGCGGAACCAGAACTCCGGAAAATCCAGTGCACCTCTAATAAATTTACATCGTGTTTCCACAAAACTAATCTTGTAATTTGATCATTTTCATTAATTCGCCGTGTTTGATCATACCGTACAGTCAGATCCTGTAAACGTGAAAGCTCTGGTGTCGAAAGTTGCAAGATAGATGTTGTTAATCGTTGGAAGAACAAGAAGGCGATATGGTGCGCAATGTCTGGTGCAGAAATGTAAGAATTTTCATTAGCTATGATGATGTACCTAAGGGAGGGGGGGAGGAGATAAGTATAAATATAATTAATTTAGGTTAGCGTTCCTCTTGTATTAACACTGGATCTATGAGAGATGATCCGTACTGGACCTCTAGAGAGGACAGCTTAGAACTGATAGAGCTGTCCAGTATCAATAAAGTTAGGCCTGTTTCGAACATCGCAGTTCGCATGTGTCGAAATCAAATGCTTGATGATTCTGTGCATGTAAAATTCGGCGTGTGAAACGATTAAATGAGACATTTTTAATTGCGGTCGACATTAACTTTAAATTCGACCCGATGGTTGGCATAATGCGAGCTAAGTGGTAGCTAAATGCGACCTGTTTCAGGCGACGCATTTGGCATGTGTCAAATTCAATTCTGTTTGGGTGGGGCCACAGCACACCAGGCACGAATTTCCCGCGCCCGCCTGTGACTTCCTTATAATGAGGGAAGGACAGAAAATTTGATACCAAAATAGCACAGACTTTGCATATGTCACATGACATTTCCTCGATTTTTCACCTTTAAATGCAGGTTATAAAGCTACATTATTTTCTTCTATTCAAAAGACCGATCTGAGTTTATATACAAGCGAAAATAAATTTGCGAACAAGAGCATTTACACGGGACTACATAGTATTTCTTCGTGCTTTAAATAAGATGAACCACGGCTTATTTCGCTGGTATAGTCCTGTAAATGGCCCTATACTGACGTACTGTGTTTATTAAGCGAATTATTGCCGATCGTGTAAAGTGACCTTCGCTCTTGTTGTTCACGTTACACTACAGGTTAAATAAATATCAATATATTCATTAAAATTAATTAAAACTATAAAAAGGGCGTGTCAAGAACGCTACAATTTCGAATTAAATGCATGCAAAATGCGACATTTGAATCAAATGTTGAATTTGATTGAATTCGCTCGAATGAAAAGCAAATTGAATTCGACACATGCAAAATTCGACTTTTGAACCGGGCCTTAGTTTAGTTTAGGTTTACTCGCGTAGTAACACTGGATCAATAGGGGATGATCCTTACTGGACGTCCTCTCGGGAGAACAGCTTAGAACTGATAGAGCTACCCAGTATAAATAAAGTTAGTTTAGTGTAGGTTTCCTCTTGTTGTAACACTGGATCAATAAGACATGATCCGAACCTGATCTTTAGGGAGAACAGTTTAGAACTGACAGAGCTATCCAGTAAAAATAGAGTTAGTTTAATTTTTAATCATCGTCGATATTCAGAATTCCAGCATAACCAAAGTTTGTTTATATCACAGTGGCCAACAAGAACAAATACAGAGCTAGAGCTTGTATCACAATCCGGAAAACAGTCAAAATGTTTCTGGCTTGGAAAAGACATCGTTCAAGGTACGAAAAATTCTATTCAATATATGTATTTCAAGTTTGTTCTTATTCCATCCCTCACTAAGGGCCATATTAAGATCAGCGAGATACCACCCATGCGTTAGACTTTTACCGGGTGTAAATAGCTCATCGGAGTATTAAAGTAATTTAGTTTCTCTCGGGTAATATATCATGGCAATTAGCTATTTCTCTAAGTAATTCTTCTTTTTTTGTAGAACTCATTTCCATATTTTGAAACAAGAAATTCTTGTCAACAGATAGTATTGTAATCAATGGACCTATTCCCTAATGAACAAAATTTTGATCTAGCCAAGTCTACACAAAATTTCATCACAGCTTGAAAGAGTATTACAAAATTAGTAATATTCCGAAGTTTCATTGCAAAATGTTGTAAAATGCATGCGGATAATATAGCCGTGCAAAGTTTGCGTTTTCAGTCATTTTGTATTACTCACGGAAAATTGATACCGCTTTCTTAAAAAAGGTAGCAATTTCCCGTGTGTAATACGAAATGACTGAAAAACGGCATACTTCGCAGGGCTATATTATCGGCATTTTACAACATTTCGCGACGAAAATACGGAATTTTTCTAATTTTGTGATGCTCTTCCAAGCTGTGCTGAAATCTTTGTCTAGACTTGGGTAGATCAAAATTTTGTTCATTAGGGAATAGGTCCATTGCAAGCCAACATTGCGATTAAGATTAACATTTCTATAGTACAAATTTACATGTGGATATGATCAAATGCGCTTTACATCAAGTATTTCGCTTGTCTAATTTCTTAACCTAGACTATTTTATCTTTACAACAATTGTGATATTAGTTTCTTTATCATGTTCATTTTGAAATCATGCACGATTCGAGGAATCTGATCGCCTAAAAATAGTGCGATTACAGCCCAAATCGGACTATTTTAGAGCTGTTATAGCACGATTTCGAGCTTTGCTCGCGTCAGTATGAGTTGTAAACTTCGTATTGAAGCTTTGAACCAAGACAATCAACGAGGTTGGCTAATTTTGTAAACTAACCAATCAAATTAAAGAGGAAAATTAACAAGAATACAAGCTTTTTGATAATTTAGTTGCCCCATGCAGCTAATTCTTTTTAAAAATGGATGAATTCGATCACTTACAATTTCTTTTTGACGATAATATTAAGCTCTTGCAAGCTGCAAATTTGTATGACGAAAATAGCAGGCATAATTTTGGTACATCCGCAGAAAGTTTTGCTTTGAATAGCGACGTTTTGTATTCTCGCCAGCCCAATGAAGGCAGTATAAAAATGCGCCCAAAACCACACCAAATGAAGCTATTTAAAACAGCGCATGCAGTAGATGTTCCTAAATTTCCTGAAGTTCTCCTTAACGATATAGAAAAACTACGGTCTTCGTCTGTAAATACAAACACGTCTGGGTCGACCAAACACTAAATAAATTTGTTTAAACCCTGGTGTTTATGGCGACGTATACAAAATGTAAACTTTGAAACAATGCCAACGGAATACCTTGACAAACTCCTTGGGAAATTTTACGCAGAAATAAAAACAAGACGGTGGAGACTACGAGCCAGAATAATTGAGAACTATGCAGTGTGATCTTGAACGATATCTTATATTAAAGAGAAAGGGTATCAAATAAGCATCCAATACGCGGTAGAAAGTTTCAGAAATCACTGGAAATATTGAACGCGAAAGTCATCTTTCTTCGCTAACAAGGAAAACGAAAGAGACCAAATAAAGCTCAGCCATTGAGTCCAGATGAAGAATCAGCGTTATGGGAAATGGGTCAGCTCGGTGATTTTAATACACGAGTCCTGCCAAACACTAACTTTAAAAACTTAACGACCAATTTTGTTTACGCGGCCGCCAGGAGCATTACGATTCTTACGAGCAGGACTTCATTGTAAGAGAAAAAGTGGACGGCAGTGAAGTCGTTGCATTTCGCGACGGTCTTACAAAAACGCAAAGTGGTGGTCTCCGTATACGACAATTAAAGAACGGCACTCCAGCTTATGTTTAGTACAGACGGCGGAGAAAAAGATCCTGTACGCGTATTCAAGGTTTGGTTATCCAAAAGACTTGAGAGAATGAAAGACAACATCCCACTTTACTTATTCGTGATACATCGACCGAAATCGTTCAACGTCTGGTACACGTAAATTCGCATGGGCCAAAATACCATTGGTAATATTATGAAATCCATGGCAACACAAACGAGAAATTAACGAACCACAGCATGAGAAAAAGTCTCGCATCCAAACTAAAGAAATCCGTGCGTCCGTTAGCATGCCTCGAGCATCTGAAGCATCGAGTAAAAATATCCTCGCTTTAATTCCTACTTCGAGTTCGACTGCCGCAGTAACAAGGCCTCGAAGAAAGCCATCAGCCAATGGATTTTTGCATCTACTGATTTTCAATCAGTAGCTGCATTGTCAGGACCAGTGATGAGTGATAGGTACATGTCGGAAAAAGCACGTAAAAATGACATATTGATGACGTATCGATCTAATGCATTGCGAGCGTAGGGCAAAAGTCGGTTATCCACGCTTAGTTCTGCTGTCGTCCATAAATGGTTTTGTAAATAACACGAGTACTCAATAAAATGGTTTTGTCAATAACACGAGCGGAGTGCAATACGAAGAATGCCGTATAATTGGGCGAGAAGATGACGACTTTGTATGTTCATATCTTCGGTTCCAGTGCCTTTTTTTAAAGAATTTTCACGGGGGGGGGGGCGAAACAGGGAAAAAAGGCAGAACGAAAAATATGAGCCGTCGAGGTTTGGTGAGGGGAGGGGCGGGGATCCCAATGTGATTTTGATCAGAAATGTTGAATTTAATTAATTTTCGGTTCTATGAGACACCATTTTCGTATTCTCAAAATTGCGTTGCTTTTTCATACTGTATAGAATAAGTCTGAGAAGAAATATTTATGCTATGATGATGCGTACATGTATTTAACAGTTAAAAATCTAAACTAAATCTATTCTTCTTAGAACCATATCTACAACTACTTTAACGAGATTTCGCAAATCAAGTTCCTTCAGTATATCGTCCTTTTCCTCAGTCGAGACGTACTTAATCAGTTTCAGCTTCGAGCATGTAACGTGTAACCCCCTCCCCAATTTCTCTACGGATTTAGCCTTTCTGAGAGACTGGTTTTTGTAATAGCTTGATATTTTTAAGAAAAAATTTTTGAAATGAAACCTCCCAAAACAAAATACAGCGCCTCTGCGGAGAAGAGTGCTAGGAAATGGTCGCAAGGGTTGGAAAGGCTAGCATTTTATCGGATTGTTTGCATGAAAACTATCGCTATTATGAAATACTCGACGAAGAACAATATGAATTACGCACAAGATGGCTGTGGAGGAGGCTATGGAAGGGCATAATCTCATTATCAAGTAAATCAACTGCAATTCTGACAGCAATCATGAGCAATTCTGCTTCGCACTTCGGGGGCAGAAATGGCTTTACTAGGGGGGGGCTGCAAATTCTTTCCCTGGGGGGGGGGCAATTGCCCCTCCCCCCAGATATATAGTTAAAAAAGGCACTGTTCGGTTCACTGCACAATAGTCTTAGTCATTATCAACATTGTAGCGACGTATGGCCTTTGAACGTCAAGCGAGATCGCATGTTATCAAATGACACAATTGTCTGAACTCTTTCTCGACGACTTTGTATATGTTCATATCTTCGGTCCAGTGCTAGGTTAGATCAGTGCATGCTCCATTCGATTCAGTGAAACAAAATCAATTATTTCCTCACAATAGTTTAAGTCATTATCAACATTGTAGCGGGTTATGACCTATGAAAGTCAAGCGAAATCGTAGCCTATATTATCAAATTATCTGAACGAAGATATAACTTCGACCCCGTATCTTCATTGCAATATTCTTGTTCGAATCATCAATAACTACTGTGTGGAGTATTTATATTTTCGAGATTGTATCTTCAAATTTGTATCTATTAGTTTTATCACGGTATATAACAATTTCCGATTTCTGGCCCGACTGTGAACTAACAACAATAACCTATAGCAATCCCTACCAGAAATACAACTCTAAAACGTCAACAATGCGACGTTTGTCACGTTGTGCTTGTGCTATGATCCTGCAAATGCCAGAAATCGATTCCAAAGGTCAGAGTGCACATCTTTGCTTTCATCTGCTCAATGCCTTTTATTTCCCAGTGCAACTATTCTATTCAGTAGATGAGTGTCCGCAACAGCGGACCTATGTTTAATCCTAACATTCAGCCGAATGGATTTCCGTTCTTTGCTTCCCATTATCCAACCATTTCAATGTCAAATTACAACGGTTGCACGATAAACAACTATTTCAGCAAGTCTTTCCCATCGTCTTCACAGCCAAAGAAAAACGCAGAGCTTTCGTATTTGATTCAGACGACGAAAATTGAACATCATATTTGTTGCTGAATAAACTCTGATCTCGCTAGTTTCAAAACGTTTATTGTTCGTTGCGATTGTGCCATATATCCACGGCCGTTGACACGACTTTGTCATTAGAGGTTAGAATTACCTGCAGATTTTCAACTTAACGTTTTTAACTGAATTTGCGAGGTGCCACCATGGTTGGTGCCGAGCAAATCTTTTTTTTCAAATTTGAAGTCTCTTGACCACCGAAAATGGAAATTTTAGAGTCTTTCCGACTCAATATTTTAATATTGCCCAACAATGAAGATGAGTATTATTAGTTAGAGGTTAATGTGACTATGAACATAGAGAAAATGTTTGAAATATTTGGTCTCCAGATCGTCAGAAAGGGTATTTGAACATGTCCCCCCTGCTATGACAGTAATGACACCTCTAAACGTCTTTAGTTGCACTTTAGTTGTCAACTCTATTTCTGATTCAGAGCATAGATTTTACATTATCATGCCCTGATAATTACCTGATTTACCAGAAAATATACAGGAAATGTACCTGAACTAGCTCGTGAGCAATTATCAGGGGGGGTCGTCCCCCTCCTTCATCCCCCCGGTCGTTACGACCCTGTATATATCACGTGTATACATGTCACTTTAATTACTATAAATGTGCAAGAAATATTTATGATGTAAAACAAGTTCCGGTTTTGCGTTCAATAAAATAAATTTCTTGTGTGATTTTATTTTTATGTGATTTCAAAATGAATATGAGAAAGTGGTCATTGAACTTCATGTCGTGCAAATTTGTTCTGAAATCAAACTTGTGATTGCAAATTGCACTCCAACTTCGTGTTCGTGGAATTTTGTAATCACGCGTTTGATTTCAGACCAAATTGTACTCCACTCAGTTTAATTACCATTATTAACTGTGTTTATCCTAACCTACCCTGTCAACTTCCATGTGGGACGAAACCGGAGCAACAGGAAGAAAACCCACGACTTTCGGCAGAGTGTTGAGTGTTGACTGACTCTTATAACATGAGTCCGTAGCGAGAATCAAACCCACAAACTCAGAGGTGTTTGCTCTGATGACTACGCTACAAAAGCCCCATGCACTGGTGTAGTCAGTGCAATATACCCGGGGCGGTAATACAAATTTCAAATCATTACCATTATTCATTTCTTTTCAATTTATTGTTTTTACAATCTATGAACACGACAGAATTTGCATTGCTACCCCGGGTATATTGCACCGGCTACGCCAGTGGCCTCTTGGCCATGATAATATGAAGTGATAGCCACCCATCGCAGTACATTTTGACCACCCATCGCGGTACATTAAATATCCTATCTTGTATAAACAAATACCAGTCTGCAAAAGACGCTTGAAATTATTTTGCGAAATAATTTTGTGAATGGTTTGAAGCAAATGGTAATACAGACTTCAACATTGTGTTTTTGCATTTGGTGTCTCATATACACATTTCAATTGATTGATAATGGAACAATGTTGTTCTCGTTTGTCTTAACTATATGTTCGTGCATTCAATACAAGCAGTGTCGTAATATATAAATACTAGAAAATACATGCATGCAGAAACCCTCGCGTTCCTGACAACCATTGTATTTTCCGAACGTGAATTTCTAAAGTAGTGGTCATGGTAACACGATAATTCTTTAAGAATATTCTTACAAATGAAAAATCGCCTAAAATTATCACTTTTAATTACAAAATTATTAATTTCCCAACATATATATGTTAGGTATGTTATTATACGTAATATAAGCCTCAATATAAGGTAAAATTCAACCACAAACGCTTCGCAAAACGTTTTAAAGTGCTGTTTATAAACTAAACTGCCTTTAATTAAATGGCTTTATCGATAAACTTTGAGTTGCAATAAAATGATTTCAAATTCTCGCTTGCAAATAACTTTGCTTTCTTTTTTATTTAAATAATTCAATATAATAAAAAAGTGAATCAATATTAAAGATACACTGGGCGAAATTATATTCTGTCTTGTTTAGTTGTTTCATATACGCAAAGGCCGTCGGGTTTTAAAGCCATTATAAAATCAATATTTAAAACAAACTTACCTTCGTTAACGTCGGCTCCCTTCTTTTAGCCGATTCTTTCGAAGTTTCTTTCTCGGCGAGCTTTTGAAATTTACAAAATATTGCAAAAATGCGAGTAAAAATGAAATATATTCGCAAGAAATTTATCAATCATGAATCATCAAATCTAGAAATGTTTGCTATTTCGCTGTTGTCATGCAGTCGTTATAATGCAAACTTTAAATTGGACCAATCAGTGTCCGCTATTCATGACAGTCCGCCATATTTTTGAGGTCAGTGAGGATGACCACCCACCCAACACCGTTGGTGACCCACGCCCGCGATATTTATAGAATAGAATAGAATAGAAACTTTATTTCACGAGGGAAAACGTATTAACCGTAAAAGTTATCTAACATACGGCCCTCGCACTATTTTGATATTTACAGGCATAAAAAGTATTAAGGATTACGACTATTTACATTTGAGAAAAAAATAATTAGTAATGAATACAATTACAATTTAGTAAATATTTGATGAACTTTAGACTCCGCTAATGCTTTCGTTTCCGCGGGTGTAA